GCCACGGTGCTGGGGGGCTTGTACCCACACGAGTACAGCCCTCCGCAGGGCCGGCCACGGTGTCGGGGGGCTTGTACCCACACGAGTACAGCCCTCCGCAGGGCCGGCCACGGTGTCGGGGGGCTTGTACCCTGTAGCTGGGACAGGACCATCCCAGGGCGGGCGTGGGGAACCTTTCCCTCACAGGGGCAGCGACAGCCACAGGGAAGTGAGCAGCCCCACGTGGCCTCTCTACTCACTGGAGCAGATGAACTCGGCGAGCTTCTCCGCGTTCCCACACTGCTCTCCTTCAGCGTCCAGGCCGATCCTCCTCACTGGAAAACAGACAGTGTGTCTCTTCCCTGGTCGGGGAGGCCCTTCCACTCCTGTGGTGCTTTCTAGGGTGCAAACACCCAGGCCTGTGTCTAAGTTAGAGAGTCCTCTCTGAGGGCAAGGTACTAGCGGCCAGCTCACCCTGGCCAGCATCCTAGTCCCCAGAAGGGTATGAGCTCAGGCTGACCCGGCCTTACTAAGGCATCTGCCCTGAACAATCCACATGTTTGTCACGCACCAAAGGCTTCCCTGTGGGGTCGCGTGGGTCCCTCCATTCCGGTTCACGAAGTGCCGAACCCACAGACAGACCCTCAGCGTGGATGCAGCCCTCTCTCACTCATGAGTCTTTGAAACGGGCCTGCTCAAAGAACAGCCACACGCAGCTGTCCACCTGAGCCCGCCTGGGGGCCTCCTGGTCCAAAGGAGGGACAGTGTGAGTCTGAACCCCCAGCTGCTCTTCAGGAGAGAAGAGGCTGTCTGATCTACAACCTCGGGGTCTATGAGAAGCTGGCTCTGTCCTACACTCTTTGCTGCATTAGACTTGACTCCATGGCAGAGGGCTGGCCGGCATGTGTCTCCTTCACAGCTGAACAGAGGGCCAAGCACCGGCTGCTCCACACCCTAGAGCTTTCTCACTGCGGTGTCAGTGGGAGCAGAACAGGAGTCCTGGTGGCACAGTGGGCTAGCTGCTGTGCTGCTAACCAAAAGGTCAGTGGTTTGAACCCATCAGCCCCTCCGCAGGAGAAAAATGAGCCACGCTGCTTCCATAAAGATTTGCAGCTCTGGAAACCTCATGGGCAGTTCAACTCGGCCCTACAGGGTCACTGAGAGTCCAAACTGGTGGTTTTGGAGACGTAAGATGCAAAGCAATGCTGCTGAAGTCCAACCGAGGGTCGTGTGAAGTGCTGGGCATCTGCCGTCAGCTGGCTAGTGTGGGAAGGGCTGGGTTCCGCGTGCATCCAACAAATGAATCAGGTCGAAATCAAGACTTGCCTGCATTTTCTCTTCTCTACTTAGAAATAGGAAATAGAAGTACAAGCAAATTCTTGACGTAGTTTTCCGGGGGATCTGAGTGTTTGGAGGTGGTTCCCATGGTAACCAAACGATGGATACACAGAAGGTGGGACATCCTCTGCTGACCAGCCAGCAACCGCGGCTGGTGTCTTTCCAGGCCCATTTCATGCTTGGAAGAGGTGCCTTTAATCCTTAAGGTATCTCTGTCCACACTGTGCCTTCTCCCAATATCTTTTAAAATCACTTCAACAAATAAAACCGGTTTTAAACAAAGTTACACAAGGGTTCGCTCATGAAGGCGGAAGTTTGTTTTAAATATCTACAATGTTCTCATGCTAGTTTTTAATGATTTGCAGTTTTATTTTTTTAATTTTATATTATTATTTTGTGTGTGTGACCGTCAAATCAGATCTGACTGGTACAGGAGGACATTGTCCCTCCTTCTTCAGCAGAGCATCTGGTGGATTCGAACCGCACACCTCTGGGATTGCAGTGCAGCTTCTTGCCACTAGGCCACCAGAGCTCTTTTGATTTGTGGTTTTATTTTTATGCTCTAAAATATTATATAACTTCATGCCTATTTGTAAAAATATAGGGAAAACTAGGAAAACACAAAACCACCTATAATATCATCACGTGAACTAACGCCCTTTGATGTTGGGCGCTCGCCTGTCTGGGCTTTTTTAGGGGCAGGAAGCAATGCGCCTGTTACAGTACCTGCAGTTCTCAGCTGAATGGAAGCTGCACACAACTCTTTCTAGTTTCCCCCCTTCCTGTGATATTCCATCTTCTCGTAATACAAACAGTTTTAAAACCATCATTTTAGACGGTAACACAGCCTTTCCCCTGTCCTTTCTGTTCTTTAACGGGTCAGTGCTGAGATGACCAGATGGGCAGACAGAAGTGTCCACGTGGAGAGCACGTGCTGTCCTCTGTTCCCAGACATCTCACTGCCACGATTAAGCTGCTCTGATGCCATCTGTTTTCACAAGTAACTCACCCACATGAGCAACGTGTGAGTCGGTTATGGGGTTTATTTACAGAAAAATGTATAAAATGTTCATTATCTGCATAAAAATACAACAGTTTACCAAAGAAAACTCACTTGAGAGCCCCTTAATTTATCTTATTTGGGACTATTACCTTTAGAGAGATTACTCTAAAAGGGCTTGGTGGATCCGAGGGCACCCAGAATTTAAGCGCTATGGAAGTCATGCTGGTCAAGTCCTTTATGAAAGATTTAAACTAATGCTTTATGCTAAGCAACAATACTTGAATATATTTATGTCACTGCCCATGAGAGGAGGGAGGAGCTCTGACGGCAGGAAGCAATCCCAAAAACAAGCGGTTCGATTCCCCCAGCGGCTCTGTGGGAGAAGGACGGGCAATCTCCTCACATGCAATTTACAGCCTCTGAAAACGTGCTGAAGGGTCAGCTATGAGTCAGTTCCCACTCACCACCTACGGGCCAGTCAAGGAGCTCTGGTGGTATATAGTGCATTCAACGGTGAGCTGCTAACCTGAAGGTTAGTAGTTCAAATCCACTGGGGAGGAAGCTGGGAGCACTCCTCCCATAAAGATTTCCAGCTGTGGAAACCCAGTGGAAGGCACTGTGAGTGAGAAGTGACCCGAGGGCAGTGAGAGAGAGGGCTCTGGGGAGAACACAGAACAGCTGCTTTTTGCAAATCTAGTAAGTAATCTGTCATGTTTTCAATGGCGGGAATCTACGCCTTTTCTTTTCAAACCAACAAAGCTCAGTGTGTTTTTAGTACTTATTGGAATGTTAACTGCTTACCTAGAGAAGACGTAGCACTTCCAACCACATACACTGGCTTAGCGTTCCACTTCTCTCTCAGAGACGCCTTCCAGGCTGTAGACATGAAGTCACATGCACTTGAGGTGTAAATACCAAGGTCATCATGTGGGTGCTACCTAACGTCGTCTGTTTGTTCTAAGAAACTTGTGAGCGAGCGAGCTAGTAACACACAAACAGAAAGGCTGGCAACTCTAGCTCATACTAGTTTTAAAAATCATTTCAGTAAATACAAATGTTTCCATGCGGTGCTCGCTTCAGCAGCACATATACTAAAACTGGAATGATCCAGAGAAGACCAGCATGGCCCCTGTGCAAGGAGGACACACTTGTGAGGCATTCTGTAGTTTTCACAAAATGGGAAAAACTTTTCACAAAGGAAGACATAAGGATGGCCGAGAGACACATGAAGAAATGCTCACGATCACTGGCAGTAAGAGAGATGCAAATCAAAAGCACAATGGGATGCCATCTCGCCCCAGTAGCAGGGCAGCAAACAATAAATGCTGGAGAGGATGTGGAGAAGTGGGAATTCTCATTCAGGTTGGTGTACAATGGTGCAACCACTCTGGAAGGCAGTCTGGCGTTTCCTTAAAAAGTTGGGTGTAGAAACTCCATATGACTCAGCTTATTCTACTAGGAATAGAACCCCCAGGAAATTAGAACTGAGACACAAATGGAGATTTGTACATCAGTGTCCACAGCAGCATTATTCACCATCACAAGAACATGGAAACAGCCCAAATTTCCAACCACATCAGAATGGATCGAGAAATTTTGGTACATACACACTATGCAACACTCAGAAGCAATGATTTTGAAAAAATACTACATAATTTGGGAGACTGGAGAGCATTATGCTGAGTGAACTAACTCTTTATCATAAGGACAAATACTGCATAGATCATTATAAAAATAGAAAGATCATAATAATAATAATTATTAACAGTAAAACCCAAGGGGGGAAGTGGTGGGAGAAGAAGGGTGAGGATGGCAGGGGTGAAACAACAGGGTTGCACAATCTGGTGGAGGAAGGGAGGGGTAAAAGAAATGGGGAAGATCCGGCAGGAACAGGAAACAACAGGGTAATGGCGGGCATAGTCCAGTGATGATTAATTTTATAGCATAATGCATGGAAATGATTGTATGAAACACAAAGTGAATAAAGAATAGCGTGAAACACAATGTATACGAATTTTGTAAGCAAACCAACATAAAATTTAAAAAACTCCAAAACTTTCCATGTGGTTCTGTTTGAAATATTAATTGGTCTCCACAATTGACAGGCCAAATATTTTTAATATACATGAGCAAACAACCATAACTTATAGAAGTAATAGTATATGTCATATAAGTAATACTGTTATATTAAAAGGATTTGAACTATTAAATATGGCCCTTTATTTAAAATATAAATTATTTTTATGCAAAACAAGATTTATTTCTACAGTTCTTTGAAACCACGCAATCCCTACACGCTATGTAGGTGGGCTCGTTATTCACACGTGTGCGTTATTTGTGGAAAACGTGGTACATGTCTAAAGATGCGATATAATTGACTTTATTTGGAGATAAACAAGAAAGCCCACAAACTTCAATCAAAGATGAGCACACCAACTCATCAGCCCAAGAAGAGATAATAAAACTTCAGGTTCATACAATTCAGTTCCATAAAGAACTCTGTGATTTTATTGAGAGACTACATCATAATGCCAATGGATACATTTATAGAAGACAGAGAACTGATCATTCTTCCTTCCTAAAATCTGACTGTGCACATAACTTTCCCTTAAGTTCGATGGAGTTACTGTCCCCTTTTCACTCCTCCAGGGGACTCAGGAGGCAGTACCTGCTGTCCCCCAGAAGTGGCTCCAGCTACCTCCCTGAGGTCAACCTCCAGCCCTCCCGGACATTCTGTGTTGAACATTAAGAACCTGTTTTGTAAGGCCATCACTGGATGCTTCTGTGAAAGGTCACACAAACATGAAGTAATCTGGTCCCTAAGGACTTTTTGAGTGAGAAGTCATGTCATGGTATTTTTCAAATCAAAAGAACCCCCACTTCTGGAAGCTGGTGTCACTGGGGGAGAAGGAAACACAAGTAAAAGCAGAACAGAATTTACAGCAGAGGCAGCCTCACCTTCCGTCTTGGTGGCCTTTTCCAAACACAACTGCATCGCTTCTATGGCTCGAGGGCTGGTAAAAACGAGTCCCCCATAACCTTCAGGATGAGACAGCTATACACACCAAAAAAGCAAGAAAGGCATTTCACATGCCAGAGAAGCTCCCAAGAGGAGACACATGTGTAATAGTGGAAAGCAAGCTACAACCACCCATGCATGCATTCATTCATCTAAATGTTCATCTATCCACACTACCCCCTCATCTGACCATCCACTCACCCACCTGTCCATCCATCCATCCATCCATCTGTCCATCCATTATCCATCCAACCAACCACCCACCTGTCCATCCATCCAACCCGCCTGTCCACACACCCAGTCTCCTAACACTGAATGCTTACTGTGCACCTGAAATGATTCTGGGCTTTAAGCAGCGCAG